GTATTAATTCATTTTTTTTGTTACAATAAATTAATTTATCTTTTCTTTCCAGCTGAGCTTCGAAGTAAAATCCAAGGGAAACAACATCCATTCGGTGAGTCGTTTTCAATTTTATTAATTTACCAAAACATATCGGGATAATTTGCGATTTGAACGGTGTAATGTTGCCAGATAAAAACATTACTCGTTGGATTTGTGCTTGAAAAACGGTACCATTCAATAAATTTTTACATTTTGTGCTTGAAAAATTATAAAACTTTAATTATTAACATTATCAAAACATGAAATAATTTGAAATTGAGTGTAAAGCACTCCAAATAATACTAGTATAATCTAATTCAAGCTTTTTAAGGGGGGAATCTCTTTTTTTGTATCAAATAAAATGATTTCTTTCGGAATTTTTAGCTGCCAAATTATGATGTGGTATCTCAATTTAATCTTTTCCATATGTTTGATAAATTTGCTTTAAAATGTTCTTTATTTCGTTATGATATCTCAATTCGTTCTTGAGATACGATTTTTTTTAATTTATATTTTATGACAAAGAATAAGGGATGATGCATAATCCAACGTCATGGGTGCTTCGTTTTAATTATTTATTGGGCAATTGATTCTTTTGCAGGAAGTGTTGAACATTAAAATTCGATAGTGCGTTTTATTTTAATAAAATGACCTAAGTTTTATTTGAAATCTTTCGAGAAAACGAGTAATTTTTTTTATTAAGGTTGAGTTTTAAAACTAAAAAACGATTTAAAACCGCTTCGCCCCGTCGTCTTTACATTTTTTGTTGATTTACCTCCGGTTTTCCTCCTTCACACAATAAATTAAGGAGGGGATGTTTGGAAGTTGATTCGCTAAGAACGCGTTTTAGTTGATGTGCGGGCATTTAAGGGTGATAAAGTAGTTTAGAAAAATAAAACTTATTACGTGAATTAAGTGATAAATATGTGTTATGTTTATGCTAAGTGTTAGGTGATGTTAGTGATGTGATATAGTTGAGATCATCGGATTGCTATTTTATGGATGTTAAAAGGTATCGTATTAATTCACTTTTTATGTCGCAATAAATTAATTTATCTTTTCTTTCCAGCTGAGCTTCGAAGTCAAATCCAAGGGAAGCAACATCCATTCGGTGAGTCGTTTTCAATTCTAGTATATTGCCAATTTTATCTAAAGTTCTGGAAAGAATTATGTTTAATCAGTTTGTTCAACTTAGTAATATTTTACCGAAGCATCAATCTGGTTTTCGTAGAAACCATAGCTGGGGTACTGCTCTTCTCAAGGTAACTAATGATATTTTACACGCTCGAGATAAAGGATTATGTACATTGGTAGTCTTGTTGGATTTTAGTAGAGCTTTTGATAGTGTTTGTCATGACTTGCTTGTGGAATTGTTAAAGTATATTGACTTCAGTGAATCCGCTTTAAACTTAATTGAAAATTATTTAAGTAATAGGCATCAGTCGGTTAGAATCGGTGATGCTTTGTCTGAATTTCGCTGTTTGAGCAAGGGTGTACCACAAGGTACTATTTTAGGGCCTATTCTATTTTCTTTATATACATCTCAAATCGTTAGGGGGTTAAATCATTGTGAGTACCATATGTATGCGGATGACTTGCAGATGTATGTTTCCTTTGATCCACGCGACTTCGCGTTGGGTATTACGAATATGCAAAAAGACCTTGATTACATTCATAAAGTGGCTCGGGAATACGGTCTACATCTTAATCCGNTATGTGTCACATTGACGTTTAAGCTTTATTCAAAAATTTATTAAGCAAATACATTTATGGAAGCAATTTCAATAGTCGTGGACAAAGTATAGTATTCTCGCTACGCTCGTGACATAAACTTAACCTTCGTGAATAATAGCCCTCATTATATGCTCATATAATAATATATTAATTTCATTTAGAGCATATTACCATAACTAACATTAAACCCGAAAAGTAATTACTTTAAGAGATAAATACGTAAAACAGTGCAATATTTTATGGAAAGGAGTCCGTTAGGTATTTGGAGTGTGGTAAAGGTATTAGTGGTTTGGTGAGTAATTAGTGCTTGAAGCTAAACTGTTCATTAAAGGGTAATAAAAAATAAAAAGTGTTAATTAATCGTACATAATATATCTTAATACAACAGTGGAACGGAAAAGATTTATCAATCTGTTGGAAAAATAAGTGACAACCTTACCTGAGTGATGACCTCTCGCAGAGCAATCGGAGTGCAGTCGCTGTAGTCGGGCATTTGCCAAATGGGCCTTCCGGTGTCGCGAATCCCGCAGAACCTTCTCGCCACACCCGAATGTTCTCTGGGGCATTCCTGCAAACTTTCAGTTCCCGGTGCCGTTTCCGGCCACAGCACGTCCAAGTGGCTTTCCCCCGGGCAAGTGAGAATTGGATCTTCTCCGTAGACGACCGTCACTGATATGCTCATCTCCGAGGACACCAGTTCGTCTTGTACCAAACATGAAAAAGTTGTCGATTTCTATATGAAATAAATTATTGTTATCAAATTATTAATCCTGCAAAAAACCTGTATGTTTAAAAAAAAATGAATTGAGATAAAATCAGTTATTTTGTAGTTACGCAGAGGCGTATTTAAATAAAGGTCCATTTGCGTGGTAAAGGATGCGATGGATTGGGTACATGATAGACTGGACACTGCCCCAATTTTACAATTTACATATTTGCATTCACCAAAATGTGGCGACTGTTTTGGCCCACCTGACCGTTACGTTCGTACCGCGTTTTTTTTCTCTTTTTTTGGTAGATTCAAACGTTTTTAAAAAATTGGACGATACCACCATTTTGATTATCGCATTCGTTAAAAAACGTCATTGTTCGCAAAATCGTTTATCGTAAATATTTCCAAAATGATATGCATTTAAATTTATGCTACGAACCTCCTAATACATCATTGAACTGCTTCACTGGCACCTTGCTTAATTAAATTTAATATATTATTAAACTTAAGCATATTATAGCAGCTTATATAACAAATATTTTACGATTACGTAACATGATTTAAGAAATCACTAGTTTAAAGAGTGTAATCTGTAGGATTTTTCAGGAAGGGTGTTCAGATTGATTTAAAGTTGCTTTCCATGGGATAGAAAGTAACAAATCGCCTTTTATAAAGGCAAAATAAGAAACAAATTGCACTCACATTGATACTGCTCACTTGCAAGATGCTACCCATCGGATACAGGACCTCGTAATGCTCGTTGTCCGTCTGGATGGGTAGGAGAATTCTGTTTTTAGTCCAGCTGTACGTGTATTTAATTTTCTGCTTGCCGCTAGAGGCACTGAAACATTTCACCGTGAAATTCTCTCCCTGAAAACACACAGAAGGGTGGTCAAAAATTGAATTATCGTTTCTCCATATTCAATGGTAAGAAAGTCGAAAATTTTAAATGGAACGCCCCATATTTTTTTACCCTATCAGAAATGGAATTTGATAAAAATGTGGCAAAATTAATTGGCAGAATTAGTTGGTTAGATAGCTCAATTTTACTTAGCTTTTACTAAAAATGTTTTAAGAACTATTCGAGAATAAACTCATCGCTCTTAATTTGAAGTGATATTGGAGACCATAATACGTAAGTTTGAAGCCTACTTATAGTAGAATTTTCCCATGATACTGAGATAGTCCACATACATTTCAAATTATTCGAGATAATATAAAATATTTTGTTATATTCACCAACATAACAAAATTTATCTCAATTTGTGGGAGTCTTCTTCATTTTCTAGATCTTGTTCCTCAATATTTACTTCTTCATCATTATTGTCTTCTTCTTCACTTTCTTCATCATCATCATATTCTTCTTTACCTTCCTTTACTTCTAGAGACTTGTCCAGTATAAGTAAATTTTTCATGTCTTCATTCATATTTTTATATCTTTCTGAACATTCTTTATAAACGTTACTAATAAATGGATCGGATCTCAGTAATAGTCTTTTAAATAAATCTTCATTTGTTTGAAGTCTACCCAAAATAGAAAAGATAAAAACCAAAACATAGCAACAAAATAACGAAAA